TGAGCTTGCTGTTTTCCCTATCAGGAGTTCAGAACTTTGTAATTATTAACTCTTTCTTATAAGTCATTGGAACAAAAGTGTTAGCTCTTGGGGACTTACAAATTAGTTTAAATATTAGTGTGTTCTCTTCCTACAAGCATTTGCAAATGTAATACTCATATGTTCCCAGATGATTTTTATGCTGCTACTCCACATTTTCAGAACCATCTGCAGTATTTTTAAAAGAAAAAAATATTCTGTAGCAAGGAGGGTCTCTGCTGTGACCCGGTCTTCTGATGAGTGAGTAGGCACTCACCCAGCAGTTCTGACCATGTGGTTCATGTTGGTAATGGAGGCCCAGCACTAATAGCAAGACAAAAAATCATGAAATTAAAGTTTTGGAAATAGACAGAGGTAGTGGTCACATGGTATTATGAATGTAATTAATTCAACACATCTGCATGTTTAAAAATGCTTAAAATGACAATCCTCACATGTATTTTACCACAATAAACAAAAAATATGGAATTGAAGGTTTTTGCCTCTCGAAGGATTTTAAAGATATTTTGCATTGGCATACAAAGCCCTTAAACACACCAGTAAATATATTAGTTTTGTGCTTATTTGATAGTTATGTTATTTGGTTCTATAGTACTTCCTGTTTTTTGTTTTATTTCTTAGAATTTACTCACTGCATTGTTTTATTTTAAAGTAAGGCTATGGGGCCGGCCCGGTGGCGCACTGCTACAGTGCGCCGCTTGGGAGCGCAGTGGCGCTCCCGCCGAGGGTTCGGATCCCACATACAGACCAGCGGCTCACTGGCTGAGCGAGGTGCGGGCGCAACACCGAGGGTTGCGATCCCGTTGCCGGTCCCGGTCCGGTACAGGCGCGACACTGAGGGTTGCAATCCGTTGCCGGTCACGAAAAAAGACCAAAAAAAAGGAAAAAATAAAAAATAAAGTAAGGCTATGGTTTTTGTTGTTCTTTTCATCAGTAACCGAACTGAATGTATATAGTTTGAAAGAAGATGCAATTGGAAGGCATTTAGTTGCAATGGCTGTCACAGGATTCATTTTCTTCCTCTTGATTTTCCTTCTGGAGACCACCTCATGGAAACTGAGAACCATTGTATCTCGTTATATTTTCTTTGGTATCTACAAGACATTTAATAAGGTGAGTACTGAGCATAGACCTTAGAGATAACTCTAAGACCAAAAGCATACCTAAGTCCATTGCTGGATGTAGGAAAATAAGTCAATCCATGTGCACTGGGATCTATGTGAATCATAAATCTTCATCATGATTTGGGCTTAGTGGTTTTCTAACATTGTAACCTCTGCCAGTCAGAACGTGATATTTCTGTGGCTTGATTATAATACAAAGCTTTCCCTTAAACAGCTCCTGTGCCAAAGATTTCTCCCAAAATGTCCCATTCATCCTAATTTGGCCCCTGGGTAGTTCTAAAACTTACAGGCAATACTGATTCTGCTGGCCTGTAGAACACACATTTTATCGCAAGGCTCTACAGCACTTGTTCTCATACTTTAGCATTTATCAGAATCACCTGGAAGGCTTGTTAAACTACCAGTTGCTCATCTCTGTCTTCCGAGTTTCTGTTCTGGTGGATCTGGGGCCAGACCTGAAAATGTGCATATGTGATACACTCCCAGGTGAGTGATCTTTGGCTGCTCCACACTTTGAAAACCACTATTTGAAGTATTTTCAGAGAAAAGGATATTTTGAGGGAAAAAGGGCCTCTCTGTTATGAAAATAGATGAAATTGCATGACTCTCCCTTATGCTAAGACCTCAGTCCAAGTTCTTGCTACTCCAGTGAGGCTTTTCTTCAGTTGGTAAGCACAAGTCTGACTCCAGAGGTACTCAATACAGTGTGTGAGAAAGAGATTAATAGTGGGACTAGGTGAGACTTGAAAGTCAGGGAGTACCCAGGACATGCCTGTAGAGGTACTACAAATGCTAAACAACAGGCCCACCCTTGTGACTCCAGTGGAGGCAGCACCTGGTACCCAAAGCCTATAAGAATCTCACATTCAGCTGAGACATTAATTTACAGATGAAGTAGAGAGCTTCCCAGCAGGTGGGCAGATCCTAGGGACTGGGAAGTCAGGCCAAGTCAGCAAGGAGATGACTGGTTAGCGCCAGCAACATTGCTCATAGAAAGCAAGGCTGAGGTTGTCACACGTTGCAAAGATATCCCTCAGGCACCTACCATGTGCCTGGTATTACGTTAGATGTTAGACCATGACTCAGATTCCTGAGAGGAGTCCAGGAGAATCAAACAGATCCTGGGACTTGGAGGAGAGACATTAAAAATAAAAAATAAAAGTAAAAGACCTCCATTCAGATACAAGAGAAGAGGCCTCAGGATGGGAACCAAATCAGAGCTCAGATAAATACCAGCCAGAAAACGTACATTCTGTTAAAAGGAAGCAGAAAATGCTGAACGAGCAACTAGGAGGTGCCAAAACAAACTGTGGGCGTTGGGTGACACTTGAGGAGGTGAATTCTAGACAGAGAGGTTGGCTTATGCACAGGCAAGGATATGGGAAACATTCAAAGAGCTATGAGCAATTCAGTGTGTGTGGAGCCAGGACCATATGTTGGAAGGCAGGGCAGTCTCATATGTGCCAGGCTAAAGATCATGGACTTCATCTTGAGGACAACATGAAGTAGCGGGAAGGAGGAATTTGTTGACATAAATTTGTTCACAACATTTGTGTTTTTTTCCCCATGTTTCCATCCTTTTTCTTGATTGGCCTTGGCAGGGGTTTACCAGTTTTATTAATCTCTTCAAAGGACCGATTTTTGAATTTTTACTTCTCTATTGCATATTTTGTTTTTCATTTCATTGATTTCTTTTCTTACCTTTATATTTCTGTTCTACTTTCTTATAAGGCCATAAGAACATTGAGATGATTACCGAAAACTACTACTACAAAACAGAAAAATTACAGATGAATCATGACATAGATGCAAAAATCCTTAACAAAAATGTTAGCATCTCCTACGTAAAGCTGTCCCTGATTTCCCCTCCTTTCAGAAAAGAAAGAATTCATCTTTTCCCTGCTCTCAGCTCTATTGGTATCTTCTAGAACATACTTTATTACTAACAAATAACATTTGATTGTAGTTGATGATACTTGCTGTGGGTGCAGTTTTTCATGTTATCTATTTTGATAAGAACATGCTGCTTGCTCGTGGCTAGGAGCCTAGTTTCTAAACTTTGGAAGTAGGGAATAAGTTTGTATGTGAGAACTGCAGTCATACGGAGGAAGTCTGTTGGAAATGACTCCACCTTCTGTTTTGACATCTTTGAAATTATCCTCTGGTTTATTTAGCCTTTCTGAATCTAGACTAGATGTCTAAAGGGTGTCCACCTCTGTGATTCTTGTCTCAAAAATACAGGATACAGTATCCACGGAATTATCTGTGGAATCTGAAGATGAAGATGTACAAAATGAAAGAGAGAGAGTCCTGGAGCAGTCACAAGAGGTTCTGAATTCCACAGTACTCATTAAAGAACCCACAAAGGTAACATTGCTCAGTGGCCAACATATGCTGGCTGCATCGCTACTAAGAGCTGGCCATTGAGTGTCCTCCTAGTAGGATAGAAGAGTTCTTGTGAAACTGTGTGAGATAACGCTGTCCTGAGGGGTTTGAAGTATTTGAGTATATTTTACTTATAAGTATTCTTTATATATATACATATTATAAT